CTTTCGGGAAATTATTCGCCCGGCTGCCACGAGAATAGCGGCTGCATAATTATATAGATAATCTGGAAGAGTACGAGTAGAAGAACGGTCAATCGTTGCCAAGATGAAGGTTGCAGTGCACTTACCATAAAAATAGCGGACTTGAAAGATGTAATCCGTGATATTTGTCGACACGGTCAAAGCAGGACAACCACACAAACACAAACGAGAGGGAACGGCTCCTTGGAAGTTTCAACACGATGTGGCGCACAAGCTGCCATTTACCGAACCCAACCAGACCGCAAGAATTCCTGGCTTCTTTGAAGAATCGCTTGTTGCCGATATAGGGATATAGGCGTAGGACTTTTCGAACACTGAGAGCTTTGGTGCACATCCAATACGTTGTCGAGAGACATCCTAGTAAGACCGCAGGGTTAGGCGACAGATCGAAGCAGGTGGACGCGCGAATTTCGAGCTGGAAATGACAACAAGCAGACAAAGAAAAAAGCGGCTGTCAGGGGCACCCTTCCGGATCTCGATGCTTAACAGCGTGTAGCTCGCGCGCGGCTGCGGGTCACGTGACGGGTGACAAGAGAGGAGGGAGGGGGCGATGACCACAGGGACGGCCCCTCTTCCTCTCCCCAGGCATTCCAGTGAGATGTGTGTTTGTAACCTGGAAAAAGAAGCACGCGTGCGTGCGCGCGCGCGCGCGCGCGCATTTTAGCACGCTCGAACCCTGGAAACGGCGGCAGGGCGGCCAGAAGCTCGGCTTGCGCCCGAGCGAAGTAAGTACTCAGCGCGAGCTCGTAGTTTGACTGCTGCAATGGCGGGCGTGGTCTCGCAATGCTCGATGTTCTTGCAGCCGCGTGTACGCGTGCTACCTTCGCTGTGTCTTGAATTAAAGTGAAACGGAGTCTAGACGTACATTCTTTCACGCGGTCGCGTCTTCTGCGAGAGAGATTCGAGCTGAATAAGCAAATTGAGGCAACAAAGATGGACAAAGTTTTAAAGTTCTGTCAAAAATATCGGCTCACGAACGTCGCGCGTTTACGTAAAACAGCAACAAAAGAAAGGTGTTAGTTTTCGTTGCACTATAAACGAACATCAGCGCAATTGAAATATAAACATAATTACTTGCATTACGCGGACGATCTGAAATTGATGAACCGGCGCTCCCAGCCTTCCGGAAACATTAGCTGCCACGGCTGAAACACTAGGCGTGCCCACGCCGCCGATCTGTACGTTCAATATCAAATGGGCTTCGTAGCGCCGTTTGATTAGACCGGTACAGTTTGCAACATGGTCACCGGTTTGAGCAAACGTGCGACAACTTTGCCCAAACGAGTCGCCCATTTGCCCAGACAAGCGACCCATTTGCCCAGACGAGCGACCCGTTCGCCAAAGGAGTGACCCGTTTGTCCAAATTGGTGACCGTTATGTCTCATACGGGGGACCCCTTTGAGCCGTACGGTCGGCCCCTTTGACAAACTGGTGACCGGTATGGTTAAACTGTTACCGGTATGGACCCGTTTATTTTAATATAGGCGCCAAATGGTTTTTTCAGTAGGGCAGTGCAGAGAACCTGATGAGGTCGACGCGCTCTAGGCTCTATTGGAGGAGGGCGTACGCAGGAGGGTGGGCAGTAGGTGGACACCAGAAGAAGCTTTTCATGTTTGCAAAAGACCTCGACAAAGATTGTGTCTAGACCCGGAGGGGGGAGGTAGAGACTCCAGTCGCGCACTTTTCGCACGACAACTATGCCAAACGCGGAGTTGTCGTGCGAACAGTAAACGCTGCCGATATTGTCGCTTGCCGGAGGCGGGACGCAGAACTACTTGGTAGAACTAGGGATGATGGTGGGGTACGCAGGGGCTTCCTGCTACTTAGGGGATGGAAAAAGGTCATCGGCCAGGGGCGGGAGCTGACACGTCACACACAGCCACTCAGTAGATATTGAGGAGAGGCGAGGACGGACGCCTTTGCCACAAATTGAGGGACGGTCTTACTGGAATACAGAGAACTGTGTGAGATTGTTGAATTGCCCATTAATTGCCCATCGAAGATGGGCGTCGAGCTATGTCTCGCACACATCGAATATTGTATTCAAAAAGATTACTTGAGTGCTTTAAAGTCAGAGAGCTTGTCCTTTAGGAAGTAAACGCTTGAAAACTAAACGTGATTGAAGTCTGTAGACTCCTATTCGCGCACTTTTCGCACGGAAAATATGCCAAACGCGGAGTTGCCGTGCGAGCGGTGAACGCTGCCGATGTTGTCGCTTGCCAGACACGGGTCGGAGAACTACTTGGTAGAGCTGGCGGTGATGGTGGGATACGCAGGGGCTCCGTGCTGCTTAGGGGTGGGAAGAGGTCATCGGCCAGGGGTGGGAGCTGACACGGCACACAGAGCCACTCAGGTGATCATGATGAGACGCGTCTATACAAAGCGAGAGATACGTCTTTGCATATCTGGAGGAATCACAAACGTCGCATTGGAGAGTGGCCACAATGTCGAACACAGACTGGGAACAGCAGGGGTAGGTGGGACGTGAGTCGAAGTTTGAAGATACATTATCAGTGATCAGCAATTACAGGATTTAGTGATGTTTATGATGAGGGTGGCGAGTGAAGAATGCTCAGCAAGGAGGTCATTTCCACGGACGACAATGTTCGATGGTGATGCTGCAGTCAGAAAGTGGCATTGGAGGTCCTTATGGTTCGTCGATGATAGGTGATATTTCTATCGAAGGGCCAGTAGCCGCGTTAGGCAGATCAGGTGACGGAGAGTTCGAAAAGCGCACCGTCATCTAACCGGACCTCTAACAATGTGCTGAAGAAATTGACTGTCTATATCCAACATATCTCATAGTAAACTGACCAGGAGGGCTATGTTCGTCAAAGGTCTGGTTTCTCCTAAAAAGAAACGGAAGGGATGAAAGTGACGATATCGCGTCTGATGGGTTAGAGGCTCAAATGACGATAGAGATAACTTTGGTCATTTGAGCCTCTAACCAATCAGGCGCAATATCGTCTCTTCCATCACTTCCGTTTCTTTTTAGAAGAAACGACACATTCATCGAACAGAGCCCCCAGGGCCCGTTTGCTCGAAGAGCTAACCGCGGTTAGCGTTGGCCAAAGTCCCTAGTAGGTACCGAAAGTACCTAGTTGTACCTACGTTGTACCTACTACGAAACTTTAATGGCTGGGCATAAAACAAATCCGTCCTTTATTATTGGGCTGGAGCCTGCGCCACCTTGTGCTGAAAAAAATAAATCGTTATTTTTTTATGATACAAGGTTTGCTTTATGGGAACCGTTTTCGGCTGAATCTAGTTGTAACTTGCAAGAAACGTTTGCTCAATTGAAAAGAAAAAGGATAGTTTCTTTTTTGCATCGAAATTCTTTCTTTCGAAGTGTGGAAGCGTAGACAAGACACCTAGTCAAAGTGCTTCGCAGTTTTCCGTTGTCGTGTTTTGCAAAAAGCAAGTGCGTCGACCGTCGCTTCCAAGTCTGGCAACGCCTTGTGTGCCGTGTCGCGTGCACGGCGTTTGTTTATACAACCAGTTTCGCCTCGTTGCACGCAACGCGCGTTTCTCGTTTTCGGTTATCATCTGAGTTTTCCTGTCTGTATTCTGCCCTTCGACCGACCGACCCACCGACCAACCCTCCGACCGGCCACGGACTGACTGATAAGATTTGCGGACCGATTTCCGACTTTGCTACCGGGCAGAATGTCCAACACAAGGAATCGCCGACACAGAAGAGACCGCACGGACGCGCAGTACGCAGCGGCAATGATGAGGCGACAGCGTGTGCTGCGGGACCGCCTGAACCCCTTTGAGGATTTCGACGAGGATGGGCTGCAGCAACGGTTCCGATTTGGAAGAGCGGGCATAATGTTTCTCGCCGACACACTACGTCCGGACTTGGAGCGCCGTACACGTCGTAGCCGCGCCCTCTCTGCGGAGCAGCAAGTGATCATTGCCTTGCAGTTCTACGCAACTGGGAACTTTCTGATCACTGCAGGCGACTACATCCGCGTGCATGTGTCAAGTGCTTCACGGGCTGTGAGGCAAGTCACCGTAGCGCTGGCTCGTCGAGCACAAGACTTCATACGGTAAGGGTCCTTTTTTTTTCCTTTTAATTGTAGTTTGCCAGCCGTATTGAAGTAAAGTAAATACACTAAAATATATCTGAATTGCTGGTGATAGGGATGTTTTGTAGGTTGCCTTTTTATGGCAGTAATATTCTACCTACTGGTAACTAGCCTTCCCCCCCCCCCCCCCCCCCCCTTTTCAATAGAAAAAAAATGATTACGGCCGTAAGCGACCTACTTGTCCGATTGGAAAGGGCCCGGGCACGCCATTTTTCTGAGAAACCTCAGAAAGCGACCCGTTTGCACTTTTGGTAAGGACTTGCACCGAATCACAGTCACTTTATAGGTCTTGGTAACTGAACAAAAATAAAAAGGGATCCTATGAAAACATGCAAACTTCATTATTGAATAGGTGCTACTGAGGCACTTTACTGCTACCACATACTTGAAGGGCACAGCCAAAGTCCTTAGCATTCCTCATTAAAAAGGTATTCATGAGCATTGTAGCTGTAAGTTTGCTATATGTGGTTTAATTGCTGAGGGGATCAACGACGCAGATGGCCTGACGCTGCGGAGGGGGCAGCCTTGCAGCACAAGTTCTACGACATGGCCGGCTTTCCTTTGGTCGTGGGTGCTGTTGACGGTACCCATGTCCGGATCCAGGCACCCCATGTGCACGAGGAGGCGTACGTCAACCGCCATGGATACCATTCCATCAACGTACAGGTGGTCGTTGACGCCTCTTCTCGGATTCGCAACGTGGTTGCAAGGTGGCCTGGAAGCACCCACGACTCTCGGATCTTCACGGAGAGCACCTTGGCAGTCAAGCTGGCCAGTGGAGAGTACGACGGCCTGCTGCCTGGTGACAGTGGCTACTCCTGTCAACCATGGCTGATGACGCCATTCCTGTCGCCATCATCAGCAGCCGAAGTCGCATACAATACGGCACACACGACGACAAGAAGCATTGTTGAACGGTAAATCTAGGCCATATATTGTGAAGGGCACTGAGATATTCATGCAAGACATTTCGAGACGACTAGCTGTCTTGACGTAATATGTGCAACACGAGCATGCTCCTTACGTCTATTGCTATTCTTTATGGCATAAAAATATTCATACAAATTTTTATATTAATCTAACGAAGCATAAGATACCGTGGTTTTATGTAAGCAAGATGAAAGTAGTATCCTGAGATTACGAATCAATACAACTTATAATAGCTGCCTTGGGTTCTGCGGTTTCAGTTTTTATTTTTCTGGAATCGGCATACTTTTTTCGGTTGTTATTGTGAGTATGAAATTTTCAGTTTTTATCGATGAATATTTTTAGTCGAAAGCTTACTGCCTTTTTCCGGTCGATATCTATTGACCAGTTACATTTTTTTTCAAGCAGGTTTGTCGAGAATGCAGTAGATTAGGTTCATATCTGAGTTATTCGTCAAGCGGCAACACTTGCAGACATGGCAAACATAACCTTGGTTATACATGTGCTGTGACGACAAATTCTTAATCGCAAAATTCGCAAACGTAATTCTTGGCACGCTTCTTTGTTCTTCACATGTGGAGGACTATTAAAGCTCCTTTCCTCTAACCAGATAGCACCTTCAGAGAGGCTGTTTAAACAGCTTTGGTTTTTTTTTATGCTCCCTACAATAGGAACAGAATGACATTCCATTCCTCCCAGAACAAAAGTAAGACCAAATGGCTTGACAAACAATGAAAACGCTCCAAATCCGCCCTCTAGACGACCACAGCAAACTTGATGGACAAAGGAACGCAAATTGCATCGATGACAAACCCAAATACTTCCTAAAGTGTGCTTCCAACAGAATAGTTTGAAAGCACGGAGATAAGATAGTTGACTACTCGGTCACATGCTTCTACACTCTGTTTACTCGGTCACATGCACCTGTAATGGTCTAAAGTACTGACCATTTAGGTTTAAAATCAAACTTTCAAAACTTACCTCACCACACTTTATTGGGTTTTATCGCTTGAGACTGAAAATGCAGAACCTCAGTTATGTCTTAGGTCCCCAGGACTGGCAATAATGGGGAAAAGCACTAAACTCACCTCAGGTGCCAGTACTATGCAAGACCCCGACAGAAGTTGATATTTTGTTAATTGGACAAAAAGAAGCATTAATGACAATGGAATTTTTTTCCTAGACACAGCAGTGGAAGTAACACTGTGCCTTGGCACTTTCATATGTCTACTTTTTGAAATGTCAGTTTCGGACTGTTTAATGGAAACTAACTAAACGTGTTAGATATGTATGTACTCATATTGAGTGCACAAGTACAGCTAAGCTCATGCGTGCTAAGATGCGTGTGATCCAAAAATAGCGGCACATCGCTGTAAGTCCCAAACGATTGTGTGTTGCTGACCGGCTTGACCGATTGGCCAAGAGTACATGCCTAGCATGACCTATTCTGCTCTCATCGATGGATTTAAGAGTAGTGCCAAGGCATCATTTTGGACAATGTTGAAGTTTAGCATGCAATAACAAGTTTCCACAAATAGTCTCTAGACACCATCTTACACGTCATTCACGACTGATGATGAGTCGCTGCAATCTCAAATGTTCAGGCAAATCTTGCTTGGGATTCCGTTGTGAAAGCGCCATAAGACCCTCTACCAAAACTTTTGCTGCATGCGTCCAGGAGCTTCCACTTGAGTCAGAAATGGCGGTGCGTGGACCACTAACTAATAGGAACACTAGCGGCACAATCAAAGGGTAGGAGTACTTGGATAAGGTGTTATATCAAGTGCTTTACGTCTTACATCTCCCAGACTTACAAGACGGATTCTTATTGATCAATGACAAAAGTAGATGGGTTGCGCTACCACGAACATATATTCCTGGAGAGTGGAAGGGGAAAGGCTCAACAAGACAAGAGTCTGGCTCTCTTTCTCTTTTCACTCTGTCTCACAAGTAACATGTAGAATGAAATTTTGATGGTACTGTATTTGTTGCAGTATAAAGCTTGGTTACAAGTTAATTCTTACAGCGTTGGCAGCAATCAGCTAGCAAAAAATTCTAACATATTGGCCTGTGCATATGCAGGTGTTTGCTTGGAAGCATATCCACGAAACCCTTTGAGGATAGCGCTTGAATAAAGCTGCACTTTGCTTGTTGCTTTCTATAAAACACATTGCACAGGCTAACCTCAGGTGACCCCGGATGTGAACGCAGTGTAAAAATAATTCGGAAGGAAAATAAAATGGTATGCATAATGCCCAGCTTTCGATATCCTGGAGCAATGGGCTGGAGCTTGGGCTGGAAAAATTAGGAGGTGTGATATCGGGCACGGCAGCCAATTTGCGATTCGAATTCAGCTGTAAATTTGTCCTTGTTGCGTGTCATCCTCTTGAGTATTTGCGTTCCACGCTGTTGTCCGATTTTGCTATTGAGTTTCTGGGAAGGAATAACATGTGGTTTTGATCCATGCGCTCTGTACAGGACAATCGGCCAACTCAAGCGGAGGTTCCATTGCCTTCACGCTGAGCTCCGAATGGCTCCAGAACGGTGCTGCGACATCATTGTCGCGTGCTGTGCCCTCCACAACCTGGCCTAGAGGTACCCCTGCAGGACACCCGTGGCCGCCATCCCCTCTGAGGTTCCCGTTGAGCCCGTAGCAGCCAACCGTGCTGAGAGCAACGAGGCCCGAGACTTTATTGTCAACCATTTCTTCGGCTAAGTGTAAGTGTCTGGATAGGTATCTTCTGGCTGTCCATTTCTAATGCAAGATGCTTTGTTATGATCGTGGCTATTGCTTTCACCTTTTCTTTATCAGGCTTTGCAGATAATTATAAGAAAATTATGTCAGACAGTTGTCTAACTCGATCGAATAATTGCTTGAAATAATATTTATTGTTTTGCTACTTAAACATCAATTGTATTTTTGGAAACTGCAACAGTTAGGGGCTCAACCGTGCTGCACAGTTAGCAAGAAGCCAACAGCTTTGAGTTATTGATTAATTTTACTTTAAGCTTTTTTTGTATGATCTAACTGGATGTAAGATTATCATAAGTTCTACCCAAAATAACCCATAAAGGAGTGTGACACATGTGACAATGCTGAAAATGTGTTATCAACATGACAATGACATTCCAGCAATACATATATCACTCTTGCACAGATCAATTTGGGTAGTGCTTGCAGATATCCCACATAGAGTTTCGAAATTTGGATGATAGAAATGTAAAGATTGATTGATGGACATCCCCTTATACCTGTTGCTTCCATAGCAGTGCGTGTAAATTGCAGCATGAGCGACGAAATAAGTAATGAAAAAAAATTTTCTTACTTCCCGCATTATTGTTGCAAAGGCTTTGATAGCTCGAAATGTGTCATTTGAGGCACTTATTGTTGGAAAGAGCTTGTTGGAAAGAGTTGTTGGAAAGAGCTTGTTGGAAGTTGTTGGAAAGAGAGCTTGTTGGAAAGAGCTTGTTGGAAAGAGCTTGTTGGAAAGAGTGTGCTCGAAAAAAATCCCTGCCGAAGCTATTGGTCAAACGGGAGTGCAGTGCAATGTCCAACACTCCTGCAATCGCACGCTGCAGCTCAACTGCTTGTTACTGCTTTGGTCTCCTCCCCATCAACTCCTGCACTCTCGCAGAGCTACAAGCATAGGCACACACGGGCTCTCTTAAACTAATAGATTTTGAATTTGATTTCCGGAGTTCATAACAATGCACTTTTCAAACTTCTAACTAATGACACGAGGGATGCTTCTTTAAATTTGTGCACTTCTTCGCACTCTCTGGAGCTCTCTTTTTATACTGTCATTATTTTTTGTAATACATTTCCCACACCGACGGATGCTTTATGGGAAGTGCTGAAGTCAGCCCTATAACAGACTATGTGTGCGCAGTTTATAATGAGGCAACTGAAGAAGACAGTTATTTTCCCATTCAATATCTACAAACTGATACTATTTAATGGGTACAGGAGCATGAATAGGAGAGTATAGTGAAACAATGTTCATTTGATACCAATTTCAAAGCTATCAGTACAAATTATATATACTACCCCATAGAATGTTCATTTTTCACTGCATTCTCATGGTTACTAGCTCATAGGATTTACATAGTGTACGCTTCTGAGTGTTGAGTCATAACACCTTTCACAGGTTTTTCCAACCTGCAAAGCTTTTCTCTTATTTTTCACAAACCTCCTAGGGTTAGTTCATATTTTCTTCATCCTGGCTGGCATGATAACATCATTTGCAAAACATTTATTTTTAGTAGGGCATTGTCCAGAGAGGAGCTTTATTGTACATACTACACTCTCATTAATTCAAACTCCAGAAAGTCACATATTTTAGTTGGATATATATGATACTAGACAACATTACGATTTGTTACATGGATAGCGACATATACAAAGCAGATTTTGGCCAGTTTCCTCTACATAGCAGAGTAGCTTGCTTATAGTTAATGCATAACTATAAGCAAGTACAGGCATAACACATTTGTGAAAGAACTGTGACTAAGTTTATTTATCCGGCAAAAAAGTCGTCAATTATGGACTGTTTAGTCAGCACATGAGATCTCAAAACAAAATTTTCAATGCCAGCCAACGCAAGTAGCTCTTTACGGGACTTTTCCTTTGCAGACAGAAACTTCCGGAGCTGAGCGATGTGCTCAAAGGCCTCTGTGGCTGTGACAGTTCGTAGTGGGTCATCCATTTCTTCATCGTCATCTTCACTGTCACTGCTGCACTGTGCTGGCATTACTTTCCGTACTATGTCCTCTAATGAGTCATCATGACAAACACACACAGCGTTCACATTACGTGTTTCAAGGCCAGAAATCATGATGCCAGTGAGCTGTGCCTCGTCCTCGTTGTCGTCTTGGTCATCATTGCTAGTCTTGAAGCACATAATGTGAACGCCGTTTTCCGTTCTTGTGTGCCGTTTTCGCTTAATTCATAGTTTTTTGTTCTCACGGCCCCGTTGACTGCGCTTCTTTCCGAGCACTGGTGCACTGCGGAGAAGCAACACTCTCAAAAGCAAGCTCCGCAGGTATTGCCTCTCTGCGGTGCACCGGTGCTCGGGATGAAGCGCACTCAACAGGGCCGCGAGAACAAAAAACTATGAATTAAGCGAAAACGCCATTCGAATTAAGTGGCTTATAAATACATAAAAAAGCTTAGCGGGACAACCAAAATTTTTAAACCTGTTTGAATTAACTGGAAGTACGAAATATCCGAGTTCGAATTATCGCGAGCCTACGTACAAGCAGCAAGTAGATTTCAGCTCCAAAAAACTGTTGTGTTGGATAACAGTGTATTTTTTTCTCGGTTGTATATCTATTCTGTGCGGACAAGTGATCACTTTGTGTTTTAATGTATGTGTGTTATTTCCCACCCCTCCTACAATAATGCCCTCGAGGCGGTGAAGGTACTCTATAAATAAAATAAATAAATAAATAAATAAATAAATAAATAAATACTTAAAGAACAAGGTAAGTGGTGACGATTCAAAGTAATAAGAGTTGAAGACCCGGGGCCCCAAAAGGTGACACACGCAACAAAATGATGTAGAGTTGTGTTTGATCCCTTTTTCTGTTCCTGAGTTTCGGGATATTCTTAGTATGAACTTTTTCGTACATAAGCAGCACACAGTCCATAGGTCGCAGGAGCATATCCAGGCAGAAAGAGCCTTTATCTTAAAAGCAGAAGGAATATTTGCAGATGCAAGTCAGAAAGTGTCTGTGGTCCACTCATCGATTACTCGAACATTTTCTTAAAACACAGAAACTCGACCTTGGTCTTCTGCCGGGAGGCTAATCGTCTTGGCGACCTCCTCTCTTGAGCTGTGACGGGGAGCCGCGTTATGAAAGGGAAACATGTGAAGGGATATAGGAAAGAAGGAATTATACATCTGCCTTTGAGCTTAACCCATATTTTTATTTTAGGTATCCATGTAAATTATGTGCCACCTTTGGGGCGTCGAAAGCCTGGGTGCCATACTGCCAGTATGATATTCTGTTGCTTACTTAACCACAGCGTAAAATATTGCGATCAGAACAACCACGCTGGTCTAGTGTAGGGATAGTCAACGACATGGAAAAGATTGTGTGCAAGCTTCCCTTGTAGATAGCATGCATAAAATAAATGAAGTGTCAAACATACCGTGTTTGCACGATTCTAACGTGCCCCCGATACTTACATGCAGGCAATTTTAGCTCCCAGATATCGAAAAATTTAATTGCTGCCGATTCTACCACGCAGGTAAAGTAATGCACTTTGAACACCCATACCTCATAAAACCAATTTTAGGAAACGCACGGCAATACACAAAATAAATACCGCGCACAAGTTTCTGTTGTCGGAATCTGGCAATTGGTCTTCGCTGTCCACAGACTGCAGAAGGTCATCCTTGCTTCCGTCTAAAGCGTTTGAGGTGCCGTTCTTCTTGCGCTTGAACGAGTGTGCGACCGTTGCCTATTAGAGGGACGTTTTAGAGTGCAGCTCTTAGGCGCTCGTTTCCGGCTTGAGCGGCGTCGCCGTCGCCATCGGCGTAACCGCCGGTGCATGATGGGTAAATTTCTCCGCTAAATCTAGCGGAAAAATTTCTCCGCTAAATCTAGTGAAAAACTCCGCTAGATCTAGCGGAAAACTTTCCCCGCTAAATCTAGCGGAAAAATTTCCCCGCTAAATCTAGCGAAAAAATTTGTCCGCTAAACCTCGAGGAAAAATTTCTCTGCGGGGTTATGTGACCTGGGGGTCACGTGACCCCCCCCCCCCCCGAGGTCACGTGACCCCCCTCCCCCTCAGTACCCTTCCCTACTCCTCCTCAAGAGCTGCGCTCTAATTCGGCGTTACAGAGTTGTAAACGGCCTTCGCTTTTTTTTTTCATACAACACTTCGCGAGCTCATTGGGTCGCTGGGATTGCGAGGCTACGCAGTGTCGCTCCGTGGTTATCGTTTCCCGTCAGTGTGACGACATCAAGGCGAAAGAACGCGCGATACGGATACCAAAAATATCTAATGTAAACAAACGGTCACAAAGGCGATTGGGCTAGCTGCCTGGCGTTTTTCTTTTGAGTTTTGGTTTCAATTGTAAGTGCATCTAATTTTAGGCACCCATTTTGGCAAAAAAAATGTGAGCGTTATAATCGTGCAAACAAGTATGTAGGTCAGAGAAAACGCAAAATATGTATACAACACAGCGACAAACAATGCAAGTAGCTCATTACATGAGTTAATCTTGTCCTAATTGTCTTTTTATCAGTTCAATTTGCAGCTGTGCTCGGGTGGTTTCAAGTCTAATGAGTTCTCTTTGCTCCCTGAGCACTTCCTCCCCTATAGCATAGAAACTCCGTGCAGCATCTGCTGCAGCGAGGGTTGCGTTTGCAGCCTGTATGGCCCCATTTGTGTTCTTTCTCTCAAGGAGTATATTCTCATGCTCCAGATCCTGCTGTCGCTCGGCCCTTCTCTGGTACTGCTGTGCAGCCTCACGGGTCCAGCGCTGGTTGTGCTGCACAACAGGAGAGGCCAGTGTTCTCTGTGCTGCGTCGTCTTCAACTGTACTGCTGCCAGATGACGAGGGTGGCGGCGTGGTCACCCTTTCCGTGCAGCTGCTGTAGTGACACGCATGACCAGGAAATTGTTTGAGGTTAAAGGGATACTACAACAAAATTTCGGGTTTCATTTTTTGGTCTATATGTGTTCGAAGGAGCAGTATCACATCGAACACAACAATATCTTGTTAAAAAAGTCACGAAAAGGAATTTTAATATGAATTAAGCGATTGGCAAAGAGCACCAGGTGGATGTCGCTAACGCCTCGTTTGTAATGCCCGTCTAAGAACCTTGACAGCTAGTGACGGTAACTGTCTCGCCTCCGGCTACCACAATAGAAGAGGGGAAGGAGGAACTCTCCTCTTCCAAAGAATCCTTTTTTTATGTCCCAGAAGTTGCTATTGTCCCCCTACAAGATTATAAAAGATTAACCCGTCACTCAAAATTCGTACAAAAGCAGCCGCTTTGGTGGCTGGAACGATTAGGCCATCCTCTCGACGTCAGCCTCGTCGCAGCTTTGCTCGTCCCGAGACGAACTACGTCACGATTGCGTTGGGTGTCACATGCTCTCCGCTGGCTGTTCTCCGAGCGCTTGTCAGGGTGGGCCGTTTGTAACGAAAACTATAGCCACCAGGTTCAAAATACAAACGTGCGATTGTCATTTAGGGATACAGTGGATCATATGCAACCTATTTTTGACACGACGGGTATATTTTTAATTTCGTTGAGGTATCCCTTTAACGCATAAGCCTTTACAACGATTATCAGCAAACTTAAAATGCCAAGTCACTGACTGGCTGTGGATGGCAGCCCGAGGTACAATATTGTCCTGCGTAAAGTTAATGCTCGGGACGTGTTCCGAGCATGCGCAGTGAGAAAAATGGCAGCTCACAGAGGGCTATTGTTGGGCAGGAGTGAACTTGTAAATTTCAGCATAACTTGGCAAACTGCAAGGGCTACAGCTCCAGAGAGCTGCTCAGAGCATTGAAACAAAGGATTGTGACTAGACACCATACTCGTGCACGTACGTCCTCCGTGACATGATTCTCTCCGTCCTCTATCTCTCCAAGTGATGCATGAGGGCTGCAGTGCATGACATTTTTGACGTCACCCTGGATCAGGGTACATGTATGTGTGGGAGAACTGAGTGCAACGTGCAGCAACCTTAATCCAGATGTGACAGTAACACTTGTCATAATTTTACCACATATGTTGGTGGTACAACAGACTGGAGTGCCTAACCCCACAACTTCGTTTCATTGGCGGTTGGTAGAGTCGCCATATAGACATTTGTACAAGATTTAAAACAAGTAGATGTGGCACACTCACACCAGCCGTCATATGTGATTATTGTGTACCCAAGCACTGTCCGGCTAACTGGGACATTGATACTTTTTCAGATTTTGTTGGCACAGATCAGCATCGAATAAGTCATTGGTGCATTCTCAACTTAATCTCATAAAAGTTACCAAAAAAGAATGGATTTTTGCTACGTTAGCCGGCATGTACGAAGATCATGCAAAAACATTTCCACTGACACTGGAAAAATTTGGGTATTGAGTGACCTGACTAAGAAGAAAATAGGTGATCTCAACTTGAGAGAAAGACTACCATAGCTTTGTTGATTATGTTGTAAATATTTCTTTGTAATTTTGTGGTACAAATAGTTTCAAACTGTGAGTTTTACTGCATTTACCCTAGTAAATGGTTTCATTGGCACTTTTTCAGCAGTGCAGAAATGGCTAAATATGTGAAGGTGGTGTCCTTGTGCTGTGTTCTGTTCTCTACTGGACAGGTTTTGACTCGTGCTCCTAATATTGTCGTTTTGCTTCATGAAGTTGGTCTCTATGTAAGGGCACGCAGCAGTAGTGTTATGCAACTGACATGTCCACTTTGAGATGGAAAACCAATATATTCTTTTATGACAATCCAAACTGTTCCCTATGCTCATCAATGTTTTCTAGGAGCATGCCAACAATTGGTGACTTTTGATATGCCTTGTGTCTGTGCTCAGTTTCATACCTATCATCAGTGACAGCAGAACATCCCTATCATCAGTTTCATAACTATCATCTTGTGGAAGTACTCATAATGTGACGAGCAGAACAGAAAAAGAATGCACCTTCAGCGCGTGCTCATTCTCTTCTGCTGCTTGTGCATCCTTGTGCTGTCAGGGCTAGTAAGCTGTAACTGGGTGCAGAGCTTCCGCTGTACTATCGCCTCCATCGTCACAGTCTACATACAGTGTGCAACGATATCAAACTTGTAGGCGTAAGGGTGGGTCATTCAATTAGCACAAGTAAGGTCATCGACGAAGCCACGTGCTCATACCTACAACTTTAGTATTGTAATGTACAAAGTATCAACAGGAGCATAGCATACACAGCATGGCCTATAAAGTGTTACCTACTTTTCGGTGTCACCGATGATGACGTCAATCCCACAGATAGTCGGGGAATCGTCCCCGATCACATTTAAAACAGTCTCGACAAGTGCTGTCAGCTGATGGGGGTTGGGACCAGCACCTATGAATTGAAGTACACTTATTTTGTTTACTAGGATGTAAGCACAATTAAAGGTGGGGGAGGGGAGACAGGGTGTTCATTATTCAACATAGTATCAATGTGCGAATGAACAGAAAACGCGTAAACATGTAATTGCCAATAATGATAAGATTTTTTTCCTTACCTTCGTTTTTTTTTTTCACCCTCAGGTTCCTATTATCCGGTCTCGGGTAATATGTGATGTTGGGCAATTTATTTCTTTTTTTTTTTTTGTTTGACAGCAAACTCACTGTTGCTAGCTACCGGCTAGCCTGGCCCACTGTGCCTGAATCGGTTGCGTTGGAAGTGTTTGAAACGTGGAGGGGCGACGGGGCCTCTGAGCTTAACCCCGCCCCCTTTTGCAGCATTGTTTACCGCAGCTGTCTGAAATTTCAAAGGGGGGCGGGGGGAGGAAGGGGAAGGGGGTCTGAAGCCCCCCTGCCCTTGTTCCCACGCTACTTGCCTACATACATTTTTCTTCTGTGTTTAGTTGAGCAATAGTGTCTACATTGTTTACAGTGCTAAAGACAATGTTTTTGGCAAGCAAACTTTGGACATTAATTATGAGAAATTACGCAGGCCCATTGCGTGGAACAGGATCCAAGGTGCTTTGGGGCTATTTCTGTGTTAGTGCCACTGTGTTGAAACTTGTGCGAGTAAAATCTTCGGGCTTGCCCTCTCATGATATTGAGCGAAATGTTAGTTGTCGCGCATTGCATGGGGTCTTCGGTTGAGATATTTGCCCCAAAAATTTGAGGGGCTAATATATCTCTCTCTTATAAATTTGTACAGTGCACCCAAAGTTTCCAATAAAGATTTTACAAATATCGCCCTTTTTTCTGTTTTGGTAGCGCAAATATTGGAACTTTCCTGTCCGTTGGTCGTGTTCTTTGTACAATCTGTACAAAGTTCGGCACTTTTTAAGTAATTTTCTCCATGCTTCTTGAAGTTGTTTCACTGAACGCGGAATTTGGTGGCGGCTGGTCATGGAATTGGCGACTTGGTCCCAGGCGCGTCTTTTGGTGTTAGTAGTCACGGTAGGGCCGAATTTTCCCAGGATTTGGTATTTTCGAGCCTCAACTTCCCGGACTAATTCCAATTTTTCATCTAGGGTCCAATTCTTTTGACGCAGCGGCGCGGTCCCCTTTGAGGTAGTCGCTCGGTTCATTTTCGTTTGCAGAAGGAGCATGGTCGTCTGCTACCTTGGTTTGTTTATCTACACAATCGCAACATTATTCCTGCTAACCGTAAAATATTTTTTCAGAAGCAACGCGAAATAACAAACAAGTGCATTTCCAACAACTTCAGTATTGTTTATTTCTCGGTTCTACAACTTTCGCAGACGGCACAACGGAGTTGATTCGGAAAAACTGCATGTACCGGCTTTCTTGGAGGGCGAGTGAATTGAACGATCGGCAGGTCACTGGTCTTTTATGGACAACGTACCATTTCACTAAACCCAGAGAAAGTTCTGCTACTCATCACTGCTAAAATCCATTGGACCGTTGAGCCTCTGTCCGCCGTTTATCTGCAGAACGGTTGATGCTGCAGCTGCAGTCGCACTGTAAGCAGAATACGAGGATTTTGTGCAAAATGGACACCCTGAACAGAAATTTTCCCGGCGTGACTACTTTCGATAAACCGCAATCGCTACTCAAAAGGCAACTCTCCGTAATGCTTGCTTTCAATAAACGTATTCTGATCCTGCTCCTGCTTGAAGTTAGTTTCACAGCGCTCAACATAACGTGAGTATGAGGCTGGCCTCATCACAACCCTATCGCGAAATGTTTTGGTGCTCACCGTAAAACGCTTGTCGTACTCGGCTATCGTGTTCCTTGGAACGCATCCCACATTTCGGCGCTGCGATGCATGATTCTTGCCGTGCTTCAATGAAGCCGATGCGAAGCTTCGACAGTCGGCGACTCCGGGCCACTGTAAGTACTTCTACGAATCGGTGACTCTGAGCCACTGTTTGTCGACGGGCTGCTGCCGTCGACTTCAGTAGCAGTCCCCTCGAGATGTCAGTTTCTTTAAGGCGCACGTAGGATACTTGTACACTCTTAACTTAGAACACAGAACCTAAATCATCGCTCTGAAGACAAACACCAATGCGATCGCGACCGCGGAAACTGCGTACGCCGCAGCCATTTTAACGAACGACGCGACGGGGCAATGCGTAGCTCCCCGTATCCCTACCGAGCCAGTCACGTGACTAAAAAATCCCTCTCCTAGGTACTGCGGCTAACTTTAGCCGCGGTTAGCTGTTCGAGCAAACGGGCCCAGGTGTGTTGAACATTCATCTTGGGAGGGAGAAGAGCGGGCAGGTCAAATTCACCTCCAAATACAGCTTTATTCTTAACGAAATTAGCCTGTAGTTTCTGTCAAAGCAACTGGTTTGTAATCGCACTCGTTATGTAAAGCAATTTAGCTTCTGTGCATTTTTTTTGCATTGTTTATGAATGGCTGTCTTGAAATGCCTTTACCGCGACTTTACCTCTACCTGTTTAGACTATGTTTATTGACCTTCGGTTTATAATTTTTATGCAGATAGCTTGAAGGCTAACACTCAAACTGTTTGTACTACCGTGTCTGTTCGCTAATACCCGTCAACAACCGCATCATTGCATGTGCTGTTTGTAACGTTTTCGTATCAATTGTACTATGTTGAGCACAGGGAGGGGCAAAATACATGCAAATATGTATTGAAATACAAATACAAAATACTTCGTCAAAAATGTATTTAATTACAAATCTAATTACATTTTCAAAAAAGAATTTAAATACAAGATACAAATACAACCAAATGTATTTGGTCTCCTCCAAACACTTTTCCAAATACATCCCTCAAAATTTGCGTCAGCGACTTCAGGGCACCTGCAACAGGTTTCTGGGTATCTTATTTTGATTTTGCATTGCACTCTCAGGAGTTAGTGTGCGAGGCTCTAGTAACGTGATAGAAATATAATCACAAAAAAATGTAATCAGCTTGGACGTAATAGGTGGAAAAAGTACAGAGCTTCAAGCAGCTTTTTTGTCGATTACAGTTTGGTACAGACCAACAAAGAACCGAGACGACCAAGACGCGCAGCACTAGTTAGATAATTTTGTTTATTGTTGCAACTCGCACCAGTTACAAAAATCTGGACGACCCGCGCATTTAGAATGTTCCAGGCAAATATACGGAGGGAAATCAGGCTGGAAAGCATCACAAGTTGTCACAGGCACTTCTTATTTAGCCAGTCTCCCTGTGAACGTCTATTTCGCCACTCTTCTTGCCCTGGTCACTAAACTAAAGTCACTAAAGTCACTAAACTCACTAAACGCTTGTGCTTGATTCAGAGACACTGCATTTGGTGGAGAACGTAGTTTTCTTCCTGCTCTGGACAGTGACAATAAATTTGAGGGATGTATTTTTGCCCACAAAATTGTATTTAATTACAATTGTATTTGAAATACCCACATTTTAGTATTTAAATACACGCGTCAAATACATTACCCAATTTGTAATTAAATACAAATACACAATACACAAAGTATTTGAAATACGCATTTCAAATACTTGTATTTGAAATACTGCCCATCCCTGGTTGAGCAAATATAAGCAGTTGCCTGCTTGAAACAGTTGTGTGAATAAATTACCTGTTATAGTCGTCCAGTGGTGCGCACGTCACAATAAAGAGAAAACGCAACGCAAGCGGACGGGAGAAGCCGGTAAACAAAACGCCATGGGGGCCGCCATTTTGAAAAGCAAAACGATTAAAACTAAACCCAAAAAGTGGTTAGTTACCCCATCCGTGGTAACAGAGCGCTTTTTTGAGTTTAAAAAATAGTTTGAAGAACTTTCCCTCTTTTTAATTCATTTGGTTATCAAATATGGTTCTCCTTAGGGCAACTGCCTTTGGGAGTACCACGTTCGCGGCGAGACGCTCTACCGCGAAGCGGATTCGTACTCGCGTAGCATGCTGCTCGTTGAGCGCAAACAGACACCAGTCACATTGGTAACGGTGATAAACTCTGTTTATTTACAAAGAAACAAATAACGAGAACACAGCGGCTATAAGCTGGTGAACGCCGTCGGTGTGGAGATCGCCCACGGCCAAACGGTCGCTTACAAAGGTACAAAGAACGGGGTAAACGCTCAGCGGTGCGCCGGACGGTTCCTGTTGTCGCCACCGCCGAATCCCAGGAAAAAGAGAGAGCGAGATACTGCTGTCCGCTGGTTTTAAGATAACGGCGGGGGCGAAGTGGCCAATCAAGGAGCGACACGTCGATCTCCTCTCTGCGGGGGTTCGTTACGAAAATCTCCCCAAGGGGGAAGAGGAGGAAGCCACTCACAATGGTAAGCAGCGCCACCTCTCGCTACGTCAGCGCGGCCGCCATGGCGTGCCAAAACACTGACGCGACAGAATGTTGAGGGATCACAATCCCCACACTCCCCCCTCCTTAGCCAATAGTTGAATAGCCACCCGCAAACGGGTCGACCGACAGAAACACATAACTAGACTAAAATATTAAAAAAAAAAAACAAAAAAAAAGTAGCGGCTGGAATTGCACGGGACAGAGCAGCCCGGTTCATGCGTCCAAGGTCCAAGTCGTCCAGCGGGCCCTCACCACGCGGTACAGCTCCCAGCGGTAGTCGGTCGGCTGCGTCATCTCGTGACGGTCACGCACGTGGCGGGTGACCTCCTGAGCGCCCAGGCCGGGGTAAGGCATCGAGCCCAAAGTGGCGATGTCCCACAGCAGTATCCCGCCTAACGCCCAGACGTCGGACTTGAAGGTGAATACCTGAAGTTGCACGCATTCCGGAGCCATCCACCGCACCGGGAAGACGCCCTTGGACTTCTGGTGGTAGACGTCCGTCTCGGAGTCCCTAATGTCCCCGGAGAGTCCGAAGTCGGCGGCCTTGTAGCAGCCGTGTTCGTCGACGAGCACGTTGCGGGCGGCCAGGTCCCGGTAGATTATCCCTCGGCTGCCGATGTAGTGCATGCCCTGCGAGACCTGCTGGGCGAACTGCGCCAGGTCCCTGGGCTCTTGGAACTTGTCACGGGACGAACGGGAACAGCTGGTCCCTGGTCGGCGAGCTTTCCGACCGCGGCGCGGGTCCCGAAGATGATGAACCGGCAATCCCTGACCGGATGTCGATCCCGACGGCCCACGAAAACGACGGGTTGCTGGTTTGGTCCGCGGCCGGCTGGGGTAGCGGGGCCACCTGACAAGTCACGCGCAGCTGTGGTCCCCGGACGCAGCTGAACTGCCGTGGCCAGGAGACAGCAGCTCCCGAACGACGCGAAGCAAAGGCTGGAGGTCCTCTTCGTAGGTGCGGAACGTACTGCAATAGAATGACCGCCTGTGACGACGCTCGCACCGCGCTCTTGTGTTGACGTGTGGCACACGTGAGCGTAGGTGGCAATAACTGACCAATGGCCGTTACGCCTACCCTTTCCCTCGGAAGCCGTGGTTTGGGGGATTCCCCAACGGGTTGGTCCGGGAGCGAACGCTGCGGTGACCTATCTAGGTCACTGCTTGCCTGTAAACAATGGTGTCTGGCGCGTTCGCGAAGTCAGCAGGTGCATTGTGTTTTGCTTTTCCCTTATTGTGACATTTCGCCACTTACTGGGGCTGCCTAGGCCTCTACGAAAACTTCGGATAATAGTTCCTCCTCTACGCAGATTGTAGCGGGGCGCCTCTCGCTCGCTGTTGTAGTCGTCTCGCGCTACTTGTGCATGTTTTTGCGGGGGCTGAGTTTGCTCGTTGGCCCCGTTTTCCCTCTCATGGTAGGGTTTCAGATCGCACACATGCACCGGTCCACCGACTTTTCTTGATTGCAAGTTTGTCAGCTTGTACACGAGTGGGGAGAGAATCTCTTGCACTCGGTACGGGCCACACCACTTCGGAGCCAATGCGGCCGAGAAGCCTTTGCTGGCATCACTCAGAACATGGTTGCGTCTGAGGACGAGATCGCCCACTTTGTAGCGGAGATCTCGATGCGAGCGGTCGTACTGAGCTTTTTGTTTCGCTCGCGCTACCCCGAGATTGCGACGCGCCTCTGAGAAGGCTTCCGTCATCCGAGTTTGTAGCTGCCGCGCGTGGTCCGTTTGCGTCGGCTGCGCCTTGTCCACTCCGGCGCTCGCCCCTAGGACACGGTCCATGGGGTTCGGAAGCTCTCTCCCGAATGTGAGGAATGCGGGGGTGAAGCCCGTTAAAAAGGTTGAGAGTGGTCCGAAGTGCGAGCCCGATCTTGGGGATATAGGCGTCCCAGTCACGGTGCCTTCCCGCGAAGGCGGCCAGCATTGGTTTGATGTTTCTGTTACATCGCTCCGTGATCTTCGACTGCGGGTGGTATGGCGTGGTTGTTTTGTGCTTTTTGTTAAGGGCCTTGCACGCGTCCACGAATACCTTCCCGACGAAGTAGCTCGCTCGATCAGTCAAAAGAACTTCGGGGAACCCGAAACGGGTGAAACCCTCCATGAGCTACTCCGTGATCGCTCGGGCTGTCAGCTTACGGAATGGAAAAAGTTCCGTCGATTTGCTGAAGTGGTCAGTTACAGCCAGCAGATACTGGTGTCCTTTAGAGCTCCTCGCTAGGGGGCCGACCACGTCGCAAGCTGCCAGAGACCATGATTGCTGGCTCGGAATCGGTTGCATTAGGCCCGGCGGTTTGCCGCCTCTCGGTTTGAAGCTTTGGCAAGAGCGGCACGTGCGGGCATAACGGAAAACGTCCCGTTTCATGCCCGGACAGGCGGCGATGCGACATAACTTTGAGTACGTCTTCGAGCCGCTCGCGTGTCCGGCCAAGTGTGAGTCGTGACAGTAGCACAAAACTGCGTTTCTCAGACTGCGGGGTACCACTACCTTGAACGCCTCGTCGGAGTCGTTGTCGGAGGGTATGTACCTCAGCAAAAGCCCGTCATTGCTCAGCAGATATGAATCCTCCGTGCCCGCACCAATACCAGATACGTCCCGGCACTCGGCGCCTACTACAATACCAGTAGTGTTGCGCCGGCGGTCGCACCGCCCGCCTCCACGGCGTCTGACTCTTCCGCGAGTCCGTCGACCACCTTTAGACAAAACGGATTATTCTGCTGGTCTTTCAGAAGCTCTTCTTCGCTGAACACGATTCCCACTGCGCTCACTGCGTCTAGGTGGTTGATCGTCTCGTCCGGGGTGGTCAGATTTGCCGCCTCCCTTTGGAACTGAGTCTCGGCTTCACGTGACACTGTGAGTGTCGTTTGCTCGGCCTAGGTCTTTGCGGAAATCTGTGTGCAGTCTACGGGGGCTCGTGACAGTACGTCCGCCACCACGGTTGTGCTGCCTTTCCGGTACCGCACGACGTAGTCTTTTTTTTTTGCAGCATCAAAGCTCATCTAGCCAAGCGACTAGCGGGTTCGCGGAGTCGGGAGAGCCATATTAGGCTTTGGAGATCTGTTTCGATCACGAAAGTGGTCCCGTCGACATAAATGTCGAAACGCCGGAATGCAAAAACGTTGGCCAAGTACTCTTGTTTGCATGTGCTGTTGTAGTTCCTTTCAGCTGGCGTCGACGAGTGGCTGGCGAAGGCCAGCGGTCGGAGTACACCTACGTGCTGTTGGAGCAGGACCGCGCCCAAGCCCAGATTGCTGGCATCTGTTTGGATCAGAAAGGGCTTGTTCAAGTCGGGTAGCTTGAGTTCAGCTGTGTCCGCGAGCGCTCGGGAGGTGCGGCGAAAGGCCGCTTCCTGCTCGGGACCCCAGCTCCAACTCACGGACTTTCGCAAAAGGCGTGTCAGTGGTGCTTGAAGCGTCGCGCAGTTTGGGATGAATGGGCGATAAAATTTCACCATTCCCAGGTAGCGAAGGAGGGAGCTCACGTCGATTCGCGCAGGAAACTCCAGGATTGCCTGTAGTTTGTCGGGATGTGGCGCAAGGCGCCCGCGATCAAGTTCAAACCCGAGCAAGGCGATGCGCGTTTCGGCTATTTGAGCCTTTTCGGGGTTCAGGGTCATTCCCGCGGCTTTTAGGCTGTCCAGTACGTCCTCGAGATGACGTAGGCGATCTTCGAAGGTGTTGGAGTAGACGACAATGTCGTCGAGATAGGCCAATGCGTGTTTTCATTTGGCTTTTCCCAGTACTTGGTCGATCAATCGCTGGAACATCATTGGCGCTCCGCACAGACCGAAGGGCATTCGTGTAAATTCGAAAAGCCCGAGGGTGACAACAGAAGGCTGTTTTTGCCTCGTCACCTGGCTCCATCCGAACCTGGAGGTAGCCTCGGCTAGCGTCCAGGTTGTTGAAGTACCGCGCACTGCCCAAGTTGGACAGAATCGAGTCGAAGCTCGGTAGCGGGTAGGCGTCCTTTCGTGTGACGTCGTTCAGGCGGCGGTAGTCCACGCAAAGACGTGAGCTGCCGTCTTTCTTCGGGACCAACACCAAAGAAAATGCCCCGGGGCTGTTAGATCGCCGGACAAGTCCGGTGTCGATGATTTCGTCCAGGGCACGGTCGAGGGCTTTTCGTTTAGCCAAGCTTACGGGCCGCGCGTTCTGTCTTCTTGGCAAATCGTCGCCCGTGTCAATGCGATGTCGCACTTCGTTTGTGCAGCCCGGTCGGTCCGTGAACATTACGTCATAGCGGCGCAACAACGACGACAGTCGGGCTTTTTCTCGCCCTGACACGCTGCATGATTGTGTGAGCAGTGGGTGCGTCATTTCCCCAATGGGGGCGGGGCTAAATGACGTCGGCGCTGGACTCGGTGCCTTGGGGTCAATGACCCGGTTTAGGGAGTTCCTCGCTTCCTCTCGACTGTTTGTCCCGTGCGCCAATGGTGGCGTTGGCGGTACGGCCACTGGTTCGCAGAAGGGTTTCGGGGGTGCAAACGTGCCCTCCCGACAGCCTGCGCTGCTGACGTCGATTACAATGCCTGTTTTGGCGAGGAAGTCTCTGCCCAAAATAATGGGCACCGATAGGCAAGGGAGATGAACGAAGCGTTGTCGTCTTACTTGATTCTCCCATCTCGCGACCAGCCGCGCGGTACCAGCCGAAAGGGCGGTTCCGCAGGCTAGGCGAAAGGCAGTGTTTCATTCTCAGAGTCGGACAGAATTCTGTCGGAGGTAAGTCAACACTTCGTTCCCCAACATCGAAGCGCTTGCTCCGGTGTCGAGGAGTGCCGGTCGGGAAGCCTATTCTGTAGGCGGTCGGTAAAAGAGCGGCCATGGGACCCTCCGATTCTTTGTTAGCCACCGGTCCGTCCGTCCAAGGGCTGTTTACCGGTGGCTTTGCGCGTTTCCCGCACGGTGCGATTTCGTGTTCGGCCGTTCCGGGCACTGTCGCGCGAGATGATCGGGGCGAGTGCACCGAAAACATCTGTCGTCGCCTCGCCGGAGGTTCCGCCATGCGTTTTGGTTTTCGCCGGCTCTGTCGTAGCGTGCCTCGGCTCGCTGACCTTGAGGAAGCCTCGTTTCCTCCTGCTTGCCTGTCTCGTTTGGGCGCGAGTCGGTGGTTCTGGAGGCGGTGGCCGGTACGCACGGCCAGCGAGAATATCTCCCTGAAGGCGCCGGGCCTCGGAGGCGACCTCGGTCATGTAGCGGAAACGGCTGCCTCGAAGATACGCAGCGAAAGTCGGGTGGCTTTGGCGTATGACACGTTCCACTCGCTCTGTCTTGGGAGCTGAGGGTTCCGCGAGCTCGAGGAGCTCTTGCATGGCTCGTACGAACTCCAGCAGAGACTCGTCCGGATGCTGGGTTCGCCTGTTCGAGCTCCCGCCGCATCCTTCTTTCGTAGTCGGCGGGAAGGAATTCGCGGCGGAACGCTTCTCGGAACTGATCGAGCGTTCCGGGTTGGTCACCGACAAGTCAGAACCAGCGGGCGGCTTCGTCGACGAGCGCGATTGGCAGAATTCGGTCAAGTATTTAACGATCGGACACTCCCATCGCGCGTTGGTACTTCCGTAAATCGTCAAGGAAGTCCGCAGCGGTCGCTCTGTCTGTGTAACCCCGATAAGTCGGGACGGGAAT